AGAAGGAGCCTCAGCCAATGGAGGGAAGAGAGGCTTTGCTCTGTAGCTCCTGTGCAATTAAGAAAGCCTGGCAAAGCAAGCTGTGATGCAGAAAGGAGCAAGAGAGAGGGAGAAGGAAGCAGACGACAGCCAGTTGTTTGTGGGCTGCATACAAACCCTGTGGGGGCTGGATTTGGCCCGTGGGCCGCATGTTTGACATCCCTGGTTTAGAGCAATCTCTTGAAGCAACTCCCTCCACCACTTCCAGAGGACTCATTGCCCATTTGATCATGGTAACATCTAGACTGCATTTCTGCAAGCACCTTCCCTATAAGCAATTCATGTAAATAAAATTCATGAGACCTGCTACAAGACTTTGGAAAATGAAATCTGTATTCTACTTTCTTTTTAATGCGGTGGTGGAAAGTGTCGTCAAGTCACACCTGACTTATGGCAACCCTGTAGGGTTGTCAAGGCAAGAGGCAAACAGAGGTGCCTGCCTCTTCATAGCAACCCTGGGCTTCCTTGGTGGGTCTCCCATCCAAGTACTAACCATGGCCATCCTTGCTTAGCTTTGGAGATGTGATGAGAACTGACTAGCCTGGGCCATCCAGGTCAGGGCCTTTTTAAAGTAATGGGGTTAAAATACTCTGTGGTTCTCATATAACGTTTCAGAATTTAGTAGCGGGACTCTCATACTTAACAATTCAGTCCTGTACGCATGAATATACTAATAGTAAAGATGCTTTGTGATACAGAACTCTGGAATATCCTGTTGTGAACTCAGTGTGATAAATGAAGGCTTTGGATGATCTAAGGCCATAAATACCAACATGTTAGTGCCCCTAACCTAAACGGTGACCTCTTGCCCTTAATGTACACTGAAATTGCTGGAATGTGCTGGAATTCCAGTATTTAATTGCTCCCCTTCCCACATGTATATCCTCCAAACAAAATGCAAGCAGCTTTGTGTTGTTGACCAGTGTGCACCTATGTATTTTTAAGAATTCTTGTTGCTGCTATGAACTACTTCAAGCATGCTTCACCCCAAATGTGTCTTATCTTTTCCTTTCATCTTTAGGACCAAATGCCACTCTCAGTTATGTCACTACCAGCCAAACCTCTTCAGATATAATTAGAGCAACTGAAGAGTCTCACTTTGTGAGACTCAAAATTGGTGAGGCTGAGAAACTTTAGGTTTGATGTGGTTCATAATTCAAAGAAGGGAAGCAAGGAAAAAGAGTTGACTTGAATCTCTCTTATACTTCAAAGGTTTTATATTTAAATAGTGGATACTTCCTTTTAGTAAACCATTTTTTTTTCTTGCAGTCAAGTCTGAACTCTGCTTAGCTTCTGAGTTCGGACTTGCTTGGGTGTCCTGGCCCCATAATAGGGCTGTCAGTGTTATACAAGAGAACACAGTTTGAATTCAGTGGTACCTTTCAGACCAACAAAGTTTAATTTCCTAGCATGCACACGAAAGCTTATACCCAGAGTTAAACTTTGTTGCTCTTAAAGATGCCTCTGGACTTAAACTTTGTTCTACTGCTTCAGATCAACACAGCTACTCACCTGAATCAATATTATACAAGAATTATTGATAATTTGGAACTCAGAATTAAATATATTATGATATATCTAGAAGTATGCTTGAAGGATTACTTGAATAAGTGATATCAGTATAATCATGTCCTAGTAGTGGAAAAAAATAAAGGGAAATCTGGCTCAATGGAAGAATCTGAGGTTGTCTTTGTTGATAAGATTATCAACTGTCAGGATTTATTTATTTATTTATAAAACTTTTATTGGAATTAATACATACAGGAACTGTTCAGTTTAAAAGACAATGGCAAAGGGGCCTTGCCCAAGATTTAATGTTGTATTTCAGATTTTGACCATTTTTTGCTTGGTATAGGTTTAAGGGAACCTATCTGAAGATTGTTTGTATGTGGTACCTTGCTCTTAAAACAATTTACTAGACATGATGGAGATTTTCTTGGATGTTGTAGGAATGTCCAGAGGTAGTAGATTATTAACACCCTGTAATACCCGAAGATATAGGGGGGAAGAGTTAAAACTGATCAGATTAGGTATCTTGCTAAGGGTTTATTATTAAGGATTTATTATTAACATGTGTGTTTCAGGGGAAATTGTATATGTATAACACCAAAGAACATGAAGCTTCAAGCTATGGTTAAAAAAATACATGGAGAAAGTTATGCATGGAAACTTTAACAATAGTAAGATGAGTCTGAAATCAGGAAAGAAAATGTGACTTGATATTCATTGCAAGTCTATTTTATTTTCCAGGATGTTTAATGGGGCATTGACTGCAGGCATCCTTCCGGGAGTGGAATTATTTGGGGCTTTATTTTATTCTGTTTGTTTTTTATTGTGACTTGTAAGTGACTTTGAGCTATAGGTAGAATGTAAATAATTCAATTAATTAATAAAATATTTAGTCAGACATGGCTATAGATGGTCATTTATTGCTCATATGCATACACCCTGTAATGTCTTATATTTGGTATAATTTTTAAGAACAGTTGTTTGGAGTCATTTGTTCTTTGTTGGTATATACCAAGATCTTTCCCCTCTATTTTTTTGATCTTGTAAAATTAAGATGCATCCAATTTTACCCTTTGTGTTACTCTTCTGCTGTTGTATATTTATAAACTTTTTAGAGGTTAATTTTCTTCATAAATGGGGCTCATGCATATTGTGTTGTCGTGGGAAGAGTATTGGACTCAGACCAGGGAGACCTGCAGTGCAACCTAAAGCAGATTACACCTTTCCAAACCCATTGACTTCTGTGGGCTTAGAAGGGCATAACTCTGCTTAGGATCAGTGTTGTAGTTGTTTCCTGCGTGGCTGTCTTCTTTGTGTATTTACCTACTCTTCAACCTGACATTTTTCAGGGTTCGTAAAGTGTGGTGATACAGAGGGAAGCCTCTTCAGTGCAATGTAATAGATTGGATGAAAAATCTAATGAGGGGTGGCCCGCTGAGGTTTCTTTCTACATTACAGCAGCACTCATGGCAAAGTGAAAACGAATATACCAGTTTATTAAGCTCAGCAAATGTGCTTTTAAGGCTATTGATTTTTCCCTCGCATTGCAGTTTGGTATGGTTGCCCCTGCCCTTTTTGAGACAGAAAAGGTATCTGCCAGATGTTGTGAAGCTCCATACAGTGATGAAGATGTTCCTTAGGAGGGGGGAGGAAAAGCATTTGGTTAGCTGTAGTAAGCTAGTGCAATCACTAATGACTGCTGCTAATACAGATGGGGCTCAATGTTAGACAACAGGATTTAGGTTAAGATGGAGTTACTGTTATTATTTCAGATCAAACATTGTGATGTCCATTTCTAGCAGTTACAAAACTATATAAGCATTAAAGCATGTTGTGTTAAGCAATTACATTAGAACAATTTGGACCAATGTTTCTATAGCCAAACTCTTTCCAAGCATCAAGTGTCCAGTCTCGCAATTGGACATGCTTGGAATCAAACTAGGCCTTCATGTATACCAAGTACGTGGTCTAGACGCTTGACTATACCCATTCAGCTTCTGAGAGTGATGGAGTGCTCACTAGAACCAACTTCTAGAGTGTACAGAGACTGGTACCTTTTTTCTTGTGCTATATATCTTTTAAACAATCAAAACTGTAAATGCACCTAATTTTCCATAAAGTATTACCTTTGGCACTTTCTGTGCCAAAGAGTCGGCATGGTGTAATGGTTAAGACCAGCAGATTCTAACCTGGAGAACTGGGTTTGATTCTCCAGTCCTCCACATGAAGCCAGCTGGGTGACCTTGGGCCAGTCACAGTTGTCTCAACTCTCTCAGCCCCACCTGCCTCATAAGGTGCCTGTGGTGTTTGGGGGGGGGGAGGCAATTGTAAACCACTTTGAGACTCTTTAAAGTAGAGGAAAAAAGGGTACAAAAGCCTACTTACTCTTCTATAACAGTGTGAATGAATTCTGCTAATCTTGAGACTTTAGTATAGACATGAAGGTTTAAAAACTAACTTGGTGATCAATAGGGAAATCTTTAAGGGCATATTTACACTACAGTCTATACAGTGATACCCTCTTCTCAGAGAAGGCTGGGAAGTGTAGTTCCATAATGGGCTAATAATCTTGAATGGAGAATACTCATAAATCTCAGGATACTTTGAGGGAAGTCATCATGACTATTCTGGTGTATTATGGTTATACTGTAGATATGACCTTGGACTGGGTCAAAGGATTTAAGGGTATGAGACTGGGCATATAAAAGGTGGTAAACAGGAATTGAAGTCGTTTGGAAGGAGCAAGGATACCAGTGGTGAAAGATGTGGAGAGAAGGACAATTATTTACTGGAGCATTCATGGGCTAGTTGGTGGTTCAACAAGTTCATTTAAAAACCTGTTCTTCAGACAGATTACAGCCATGATCAACTCCAAGTGTTGAATTCTCTGTGGCAAATATTTAATGCACATGAATGCAGAGCTCAACAAATCCCAAGTGCCAGGGTGCCATGGAGCCTAGACATTTCATTGTTGCACATAGTTGTTTTCATCAGTTATATATTGTAAGTGCCTCTTGGTGATTCTCAGTAGAAGTACAACACTCATTTAGCTGGGTGATAGAGGTTAGTTTTTTGTTGTGATGACAACCAGTGTTACCTCATATTAATTTATACACTACAATATCTTGTTATAGCTTTTAAAATTTTACAAGCAAATGTAAAGAGTTTAAGATTAGGCTTTGTGGTAGCAATAATTAGAAAGTGCAGTCACTAAAATATAACCCTGAAGGCTGAAAAATAAATCTTACCCTTAAATATTTGGGGTGTATCATAAAGCTGAAGAAAATCACCCTATATTACTGAACTTTGAAAAGGATTTGTGGAATAAATTATCTCACTGTACAGTAAAAGTTATGACTGTGGTTCTGCTCATCTTTAATATTTTGATGTTCAGGAATGTGGTTTGTTGGCGGTGAGCTGATGATAATTGTTTTCTTCTGCCTTTTCTTTAGGCTCAAAAAAATGAGAGGGAGTCTATCAGGCAAAAGCTGGCGCTTGGAAGTTTCTTTGATGATGGCCCAGGAATTTATACCAGCTGTAGTAAAAGTGGCAAGCCAAGTCTTTCTTCTCGGTGAGTGAAATGCCATCGTGAACGCTTCTCACTTTTATAGCTTATGTGTGGCATAATATCAGAGAGTTTTGAACTACATGTATAAAGCCGAGTTCCAGGCTTTGGCAAGCGTGTGGCTTTTATCTTCAGCATCCTAACCATTCATAATGTAGCTAACTACAGAGGAAAAAAATCTTTCAGCCATGCTGAGCATGATTTTTGCAAGCTTTGCATCTCCATTGGTTTCTAGTGACATCTGTTTGTTATGGTTATTCATCCTATGAAAGTATGAAATTGCTGTATTACCAAGCCAGGAGCATTGATCCATCTAGCTCCAACTGGTGGTGGACTTCCAAGATCTCAGTCCAGAGGCCTTTCCATGTGACTGCTGCCTGAGATCCCTTTACTGGGGATGAGCCTGGGACCTTCTGCACGCAAAGCAAGCTGTCCCCTGGACTGTTGAATCAATTTTGAATGTTTCCAAAGTTTTATGTGAATTTCATGCTTACTTTTGCTTCTCTGACTGCACATTTTCCACAACTGTGTTGGAACCTGTGTAAGTGTTGGGGAGGAAAAAAAACCTGTGTTACCCTTCTGTATAAACCAGCTTGAATTTAGGAGAGGTAACATATATATTGTAAAGAACATAAGAGAAGCCAGTGTTGGATCAGGCCAATGGCCCATCCAGTCCAACACTCTGTCACACAGTGGCCAAAAATACCAGGTGCCATCAGGAGGTCCACCAGTGGGTCCAGTAGGTCAATAAAGTGTATTTATTTATTCACTTTATTTATAGTCTGTCTTTCTTGCTGAGACTCAAGGTGGATTACAGGATATAAACAGTGCAGTCAGACAACATAAGAGAATAACAAACTATTCAATAGGACCATGTATTATGTGCCGTCAAGTTCCTTCCAACTTATGGCAACCCTATGAATTAGTGACTTCCAGAACGTCCTATCATTGAAAGCCTTGCTCAGGTCTCGCAAACTGAGGGCCCTCGTGGCTTCCTTGATTGAGTCAATCCATCTCATGTTGGGTCTTCCTCTTTTCATATTGCCTTCAACTTTTCCTAGCATTATTGTATTTTCCAGTGACTCTTGTCTTCTCATAATGTGATAGCCTAAATGTAGTCATTTTAGCTTCAGGGATAATTCAGGCTGGATTTGATCTAGGACCCACTTATTTGCAATAGGACTAGGATTAGGGAACAATGTGAAAAACAAATTATCAAGGGCAGGTAAAGTATAAATCATTCAGAAAGTGAATAACAGAGGTAAAGACAATACAGTAAAGACCGTTGATACCTTCAGTAATCATTGCAATGGACTGTTCCATTATAAAGGTGCCCTCCTGGGCTGTTCATTCTACTATAGTTCTAATCCCTTTTTTAAAAAGCACTCTTGAACTTTCAAGACATTCTGTAGAATAGCAGCAGTATGGAAGCCTTCCTGATCGCCTCAGGCAGGCCATTCCACAAGCTGGGAGCTACCACTGAGGATGCACCTGAACAGGCAGCTACTGATCTTGCCCATTTGCAGGGTGGCATCTTTATTTTTGTTATTTATTTATTTGTTTGCTTAATTGTATTTTTCAGCCGCACTGCCCTGGCAAGCCGGGCTCAGAGCAGTGTACAATGTGATCATAAAGCATAAATGAAAAACAAGTAACAGAGAAATATAGCTGGAGATGCTGCAAGAGAAGCTGGCAATGCCACTGTTTCACAGGAGGGGTGGAGGGCCAGGTGGAACCATCGGTGTCCTCAACCAAACGCATGGTGGAACACCTCTGCCTTACAGGCCCTGCAGATCTGTAACAGGTCCCACAGGGCACAGGTGTTATATGGCAGAGAGTTCCACCAGGTTGGAGCCAGGGCAGAAAAGGCCCTGGCTCTGGTTGAGGACAGCCAGATGTCTCTGGCCGGGGACCACCAATAGATTTTGATCTGCAGAGCACAGTGCTCTTCTGGGGGTATACCAGGAGAGGTGGTCCCAAATGTACATAGGTCCCAGACCCTGACCATTTAGGGCCGTGAATGTCAATACCAGAACCTTGAACCTGGACCTGTACTCCCAGAAGCTTTGCTTGGATAGGGAAAGTTGGCATAGCATAGCACAGCACAGCACAAGAGGCAGTCCTTACAAGTATGTGGGTCTTAGTCCATTCAGAGCTTTGTCTGTGATAACCAGAACCTTAAATTGATCTCAGTAACTGATAATTCCTTCAGCGTTTTAAAATGTTTATGGTGTAAAGTCTGGATAGTGATAAAATTATCAACATTACTTGGAAACTTTTTGATACCTACTTTTGGTTATGTATCACAAGTCTTATAATACGACCCCTGCCAGTGCTAAGGAATGGGATTGAGTTGTGAATCAGGAAGTTCAGAGGAGAAAACAGCACCAAGGTGGAACTGTTCTCAGTGTGCTGTGATCCTGTTATGGCATGTTGTTGAAAGTTGGTGTAATTAATGCTATTTATGGTAGCTCCAGCCATGTTTCCATTTAGTAGGGATCTTTTCTTTTTGTATTTGATGGCGTTTTGTGGCAAGAAACATACAGGGCAAACGGATATGGGAGGCATCTTCCAGCATTAAAAAAAGCCAAAGAATTCTGCGAAGTCAAAAAAAAAAGAAAGATAAATTTGGCTCTCTTGAAGTAACAGCAGTCTGGTGCATCTCAAATTTCCCAGAATGTTTTCTGTGCATGAATCAATGAATAGTGAATAGCCGAATAGCTTCAACCAGGAATTTTGTGGTCTGTTATTGAGAGCCAAGTTAGATGTGACATCTGCACATGGGTGACACCAAATTTCTGTACAGGGAGGGGCATGTGGGGAGATGAAGCATCAGGAGGAGACACTAACCCCTTCTGTGAGAGGTTGCTTCTAGTCTTGACTGAAAATAGATGGTGAAAGTATATGAGGAGGAGGAAGGCATTCCCTTGCCACTTACCTCTTTCTGTGCTTTAATTTCCATCCCATGCCCTGTTTTTTAATACAGACTTGGCAACAGCCTGATTCAGGCAGCTCTGGTCTGCCACTATCACATCTAGCTATCAGAAACTCTCTGTTCTCAGGCCTCAAAGGTTTCTGTTGGAAAATGTATAGGTAGTCACATAAGTAATATAGTTGTGCAAACGGAGCCAATACCTATTCCACAAGTCAGTTTAATAAGGCAGAACAGTACATAAGGGAAAGCTGCAGCTCTTTCTGCCCACACACCCCAGTAGTGAGGCGAAAAGAGCATGTGTGAGGCTGGGAGGTGCAAAACTCCCACTGAACGTCTGGTTCAGAGCCCAGAAAACACAATGACTTTGCAACGTTTAAAGTGGCCTTGTATTTAAGAATGTGGTTTCACATCCCACAGTTCCAGTTCAAGCCAATAGATCCAGTCAGTTACCTTGGAGACTTTGGGGATGGATAACACACCCTCCCAGCCTACATTCATGTCTGACCACCCATATCCCAGGTCCTGACAATATGAACAATGTGGAACACCGGTTAAACAGGAGAGATATGAACATGGTAGCCAATGATGGCCTTATCATCATGGATCGATTCTAGGGGAAACTTGAATTCAAATACAGCCTCTGTGTTGATGTGAATGACAACTCCATGCGCTAGATTTACCAGTTGATACAGCAAACCATGCTAGTCGAATGTTTCTTTCTTAAATCTGAACTGGGAGGGTGGAGGGAAAATTGATTTCAAAATAAGTTTAAAGAGTTATAACTAACTAGTAAGGAAAGCCCGTCGTGGCGGTAGACGACGGGCCCTAGATAGGAAGGAAGGGCGAGTGGAAGGGAGGAATGGAGAAGAGGAGGTAGAGAGAGAGAGACAGAGGTAGATAGGGGGGAAAGAGAGAAAAGGGGTGGAGACAGAGTGGGGTTAGTGGTAGTAATTTGGAAAGAAAGGAAGGGAGAAAGGAAGGAAGGAAGGAAGGAAGGAAGGAAGGAAGGAAGGAAGGAAGGAAGATGGGTAGAAAGACAGAGATTGAAAGAGAGTGAATGGGAGGAAGGATAGTTGTGAAGGAAGAAGGGCAGAGAAACAGAGGGGGGAAACAGAGTGGGTGAGAGAGAGAATGTTGGGAGGGGAGAGAGAGAAAAAGGAGGGGGGGAAGGGACCCGGCCTGGACTGTGGACAGGGGCCGGGGGGAAGCGGTGGACGGAGGGTCCAGGCCTCGTCTGCCGGCCTGGACT